GCTCTGCTCTCGGGGGCCCGCGCGCCCCGGCTGTCCTCGCTTCCCCTTCGTCGGCGTCAGCCGCCGCACAGCCCTTCCTCTTGCCCGTCCATCCCCCTTTCTGGCTCCTGCTGCCCCGCGGTGCCCTCCCAGCTGCGAGCCAGACACTCGTGTTTCGGCCTGAGCTCACCCCCGCCAGGCCCTCTCTCTCTGCCGGTCCCGAGCTAGCCCCAAACTTGCCCTAGGAGTTTCCCAGCTGGTGTTTTGCCCCCAGCACTGCAGCAGCACTTGCTGGGCGCTGAGCTGCCTTTCCCCGCTTGTCCCCCAGGACTGTTGCAGGTGGTGAAGCAATGCGTGCGAGTCCCAGTGTTCGTGATGATCCGACCTCGCGGTGGCGATTTTCTCTACTCGGACCGTGAGGTGGAAGTGATGAAAGCTGATATCCGCCTGGCCAAGCTACATGGGGCTGATGGGCTAGTATTTGGGGCTCTCACAGAGGATGGGCGCATTGATACAGAGCTCTGCACAGCCTTGCTGGGTAAGAGCGTCCCCAGCTGTGAACACTGCTCTGAGCACCATGGGATGTTATCTTTGTTGTGATGGACAGTGGTAGTTCAGTGTTGCTCAGTCTGCTGATGCTAAAAGGTGCTGTGTAGGGTGCTTTGCTCTGCAGGTCTCGTTTCTAAGGCCTTGCCTTCTTTCTCCAGCTTCTCCCAGTTTCATGTATTGTCATACATGCAACGTGTCAAGTGCATAAAGAGCTTTGCAGATCAAGCATTGCTGTCTCAAGCAGCTCACACAGAGTTTGAAGCCACCTAAGACATAAGAGCAGGGTTTAGGAAGGAGCGAGGTTTAGGTGAGCTGTATTTGGGACACCAGAGTATTTTGTTTTGGATTCTCTCCCTTCTCCCTTTTCTTTTCCCTTTGTTTTTTTTTTTTTTGATGTCCCTACTACAGATGTCAAGAATGTGTCTGTCTTGGCCTTTGACCTTGTGAGTTGCTGGCGATTCAGCTTAATTTTTTTCTTTTTATCTATGCAGTGAGAAAACAGGAAAAATAAACCCTTGCTTTTTAAAGAGTACTGGTCCAGTCCCTTCCTCAGATAGATGAGACAGCTTTCATGCCTCCTTCCTGTAAGGAAAGACGTTTCTGGAGAGACTGAGGGTCCTCTAGATAATTTGGGGGATTTAGGTTTTGCTCATTAAGGAACCAAAATGTGACACTTCCCTAAAGGGCAGAATAATTTTTCCCCGCGAAAGAGCCTGGGCAGACAGGAGCAGCTGCAGCCACGTTGTTCCCAACAAGTACTTTGAGTCTTCTGAGATCCCCAGAAAGGGCCCAAGAAGTCTTTGTTCTCTTTCGTTTCCTGCCCCTTTTCAGTTCTAGCACAAGAGAGTCTCGGTACTGGGCCTCACTGACCATATGCTTGTTATTGCAGCTGTTTGCCGTCCTTTGCCAGTCACCTTTCATCGAGGTAAGTTGCCTGGTGGCGTGGCCCTGGCTGGGCCCAGCCTCTGCCCTGCTGCCAGGGAAAAGTAAGGGCTGGGAGGGACCAGGCATTTGGCCCTTCAGTGGGAAGGTGTGAGCTGCTCAGGCCCTTCTTATCTTTGCTTCCTGGGCTCCTGAGCTGGCTGGGGAACAGGGGTTGAATGAGGAGCTGAGTGATTTCTGAGCTGTTCCATCGGTCTTTCAGCTTTCGACATGGTGCATGACCCTCTGGTAGCGCTGGAGACCCTGATTTCTCTGGGGTTTGAGCGGGTACTGACTAGCGGCTGTGACAGCTCTGCACTGGAAGGCTTGTCCTTAATTAAGAGACTTGCAGAACAAGTAAGTATTCTCTATGCTGCTGTGGGTTACCTTGGCTGCTTCCTGCACATAGCCTGGAGGCAACTCCTTTATAGAATTCCTCATTTCTGTAAGGGAACTTCTGTCAAGGAGCGCTTGCCCTCCTTCCCTGGCTTGGGTTTAATCTTTTCCCCCAGCTTTCATGCAGGCTGTGTCCCTGAAGTCTCCTCCTATAGCAAAGTCCAATTGAACTGTTCCTGCTCTCAGACTGGGAGCAGGGAGGCAGAGGTGGTTTGAGCTTAGGTTCCACTTTGGCCCTTGCTTTGGGGCAACTGCGCCCATGTGAGCTGCCCCTCAGAGCCATGGTGCTTAGAAACTTGCTTGGCTGCGAACCTGCTGCTCTGAGTAGCCAACACAAACAGCAAAGCAAGGTCCCTGCCGTGGTCTCACAGCTCCTGTTAGGAAAATACAACAGATGCACGTGAGAAATAGCCAGATGGAATAGAGAGGTAGGAGGAAATGGTAACAGGTAGTCTGAGCTGTAGCTTCAACATTTTTTGCACTCTTCCTTGTAAAACATGAGTGGCACAGAAAAAAATGGGTGAGAGTGCAAGAGTCACGAATGCACTGACATTTGTGAGTTTGCTGTGGGTTTTTTTGCTACCTCACAGCTCCGCGTGCATGGCAAAATAGGGATGGAGTGATGTGCCAATATCACTAACATGTTATTCTCCTCTTTCAGGCAAAGGGCAGGATCGTGGTAGTGCCAGGTATGTTTTTTATCATATGTAGCAGGTCCAATACTCTCTGGCTCCTACTTCCTGGCCTCTCACCCTGAGGCATACTATCTGATCTGGTCTTCTGAGCCTGGTCCCCGGGAGGACGTGCTCCTGCCCTCGTGAGAATAAAGGCCACGCAGTTGGCTGGGGATGGCAGAACGCTGCAGCTGCTCTTCCCTGCAGGTTTTAAAGACAGTTATAGATTCGTGGGAGAAGTCAAGGCTTCTCCCAGCTCTTTTCAGTTGCCTGGGTCTCTGTTGTCCCAAGGGCTATCTTTCCCTCTCTGTCTAGGTGGTGTTTTGCTCTAGGGGCTAGATTTGAGGGGTGATGCCAGGGATGTGACAGCTGCCTTTTGTGCTGTATGTGACATAGACAGGGATTCTTCCCACCAGGGGGTGGCATCACAGAGCGCAACCTGCAGAGAATTCTGGAAGGCTCCAGTGCTTCTGAGTTTCACTGCTCCGCTCGCTCAGTCCGGGACTCAGGGATGAAGTTCAGGTAATGGAGTATTTTTACTGACAGAATTGCATGGCGGAAAAGCTGGGTTAGTATGAAAATGAGTTTGCAGAAGAGGCATAAATTCCCAACTTCTTTCTGGGTGCTAATTGCTCTTCTCTTGTGGTTGGGATCACGATGCCTGGCTCTGTATTCTGCGGTGCACAAATCCAGCGGTGCTCGTCATCCGGACATGCGCGCTCCATGCAGAACGAGATCCCCGGGGCATTTCTTCTGGTACTGCTGCCCTGGGGCTCATGAGTGCACTTGTGTGGCACTTGGTAAGACAGGTTCTAGTATTGCTGCCTTAGACCTGTAACACTGATGTGTGGCATTTGGGAGACCTGTAGGATGTGTGAACAGTGGGGAATGGTTTACAGTTGTCCACCGGTCTGCACTGGGTTTCCATTGATGCTTGTGCCTCTTGTTGTTGGATTACCCTTCTTTCTATTACTGCCTCATCTTTGGTGTGAGGTAGCACCAGCAGGTTCTCTGGCCACTGCTGAGACCAGGGGAGATAGTGGGTGTTCCTTAGTGTGTCTAACCAGCTGTATCACCTGCAGATAGTAATCGGTCATTTTTCCAACAGAAATCCGAACGTTGCCATGGGAGCGTCCTTCTCTGCCCCTGAATACTCCATAAAGGTAGCCGATGTGGCCAAAGTGAGAACCCTAAACGCAATTGCAAAGAACATTCTGTAGTGGAAGGCACCGTGCTGGAGCAAGAGCGCTGAGACTCCAGAGTCTTCTCTGCTATGTGGACAGATGGGTACTGCTTCCGTCCTCAGGTTGCAGAGGATGTGAATTAGGTGACGAAGCCTGAAGTCTCTTCCCTTGGCTTCCTCTGAATGACCAGTCCCTGGCCTGGAGACTTAAGCTGGCCATTTTAATTCAAAGGACTCATTCCTGGATGTTGCGGCAAAAAGCTGTTCAGCAGCATTTGGGGAGGAAGGGAGCTGAGCAAGTAGGGGGACTGAATTGTGTAGCACTGCATGTGATTGTCAAATAAACACTGCAGCAGCTGCTCCCTTCTTGCCGTGTGTGTGTGTGTTTTTACAGGCAGGACAGCGTGATCTGTGTCACATAACCTAGTACGTTAGTACGCTTTGGTGTCAGTTCTAGATATACACTGCGAATGGAGAAGTCCTGATGGGCCCGTCTGTGTGACACGGGACAGTTTGCACAGGGAAGAGAAAGGCTTCCCAAGAACAAGGTAATAGCAAACAAGCATTGAGCTAAATACATGAATCAAACTCTCATCTCGTATCAGGAGAACCAGAGGTGCTTCAGTGCAGCTGAGCAGAGGCAAGAGGCAGGTGAAGTGGCACTGAATTAGTCAAACGCTCTGCTGTACCAAAACAGTCATGTCCAGAATGCTGGAAAACAAAGGCTGCTGTGGTCAGCCAGTATGACAGCTGGAGGTTGGAAACCCAGTGGCTGCTAGGGAGAGGGAAGCACATCTAAACTGTCTCTCTTCATATGTGGAGGTGATTAACACATCAGCTTCTGATGGAAAGGAGCTTCTAACTACCTGACTGATTAGGTGAGCTGGTTGTGAGGCATCGTGGGCTATGGGGTGTGAGTGCTTGAGGTGGGATGGGAATGTGTTGAGATTTCTGTGGGACACAAGGTACTTTTTCTCAGGGAGTTTCCAGCTCCCTTTCTTAATGCGAAGCACAGACCATCTGCTCATGCTCCAGCGCTCAGGGGAGTAGAGCTGTTGGGTTATTGCTTCCTAGTCAGAAGCAATTTCAGTTATCCTGCAAAATAGCTGATGACAGATCTGAGCAGTGTTGTGAGTAGTCTGTTAAAAGAGTCAGGAACCATGGAGGCCCAGAGATAGAGCACCTTTAATTTTGCAGCCTGCTCTTCTCTTAAAGATCCACAAAGCTGAAGAGAATCCTCCTGAGAGGAAAGAGTTGTGGGCCTTCTTAGGAAGAGAAAGTCAGGACAGATTTGTCTGCCCACCTTGGCAATACCATACCATCTGTGAGAATGTACAGCAGGGTATTATGTTTGACAAGGTAGCAGCAGCATTTAGCTCCTTAAATGGAATCAGATTCTTGAAAACCTGCAACCAAAAGAACAGACTACAACTCTTCAGCTCAGAGAGTACTTCTGACTTTTCACGTGGATCCATCAGAGAGACGTCAGCATCTCCCAAAACACATGCCTCAGGAACAGCCTAGGTATTAATTGGAATGTAACAAGAGCTAAGGTTTGTTGGAGTCCAGCATCTCCCAGCTTCCAAAGCTGCCCAGAAAATGAAAAAGGAAATTACCTGGAACATGTTAAAAGTGGAACTAAGCCTCCTGCCATAGTAGGGGTTGAGCGCTGTAGAACTGTGTGTAATAGGGCTGTATAAATGAATTACTGCTGAACAGTAATCAGAGAAAATATATGGTACTTCTCAACGCAGGACTTGAGAAGGGAATGCCAGCTCAGTGTGGGTGTCAGTGCTTGTTTCAGTCCTGACTGATGTGCAGTCAGTAGTATTCAAACTCGGAAAAGGAAATAATTTACCTGGTGGTTAAAGTCAGTCAATGATGTGAGAGTTCATGGCCTATGCTGTGAGCTGTCATGAGTCACGAAGTTGATCAAGATACCTCTTACGCGATGAACGTGAAAGTTCTGCTGACACAGCCTGCCAGACTCAAAGAGTTGGGGTTCCTTCCATTTGTGTGAAGTTCAAAAAAAGAAAAAACTTGAACTTAAGTGGGATTACAGCAGAGCAAAAGTAGAGAAATGAACTCCTCGGAAACAAAGAGAGGAACCATCAGGGCTCGACTAACTTGTAATTTGCTTTGTAGAAGCTTCCGTTCTGGACCAGACCCTCAGAGAGAGAGAGGCATGAGGAGGCAGTGCCTGCTTTTGAAAACTTAAGTTTAAAGATGGGATATGACAGATGGCTGAAGACAAGGGAGCACAGGGAAACTGTGCTACGGACCAAAAGAGATCTCACCTGAGTGATTAGCTTGGTCCTGGTGAACATTTTATAGGTATTGTAAAAAACAAAAAAAACCCAAAAAAACAACTTTGTGGAAGGAGATGAAGGATAGTGAAGTGGCTTTGTGGGTGTTTAGGAGGAGTATGTCCCAGGCATGAGGGCAAAGAGAAAGGAAACGTGGGTGTGCTTGTTTTCAACAGTAAGGATGGCTGCATCCTGGGTTGAGGAGTGTAGTGACATGCATTGAAAAAAAGACAAGCAATGGGAGAGAGTATTAAATAGGGAGATGTTACTAGACCGAGTGACAGGCTAGGGGAGATCTTGGCAGCAGCATTCCAGGTGGATAAGAGCAAGGCCCGAGGATGCCTGTGCCAGTAAGCAGAATGAAGCTGTGAGAAACAAGGGCCTCTTTAAGGATTGCGCTTGTGAAGGTGAATGGCAAATATCTCCATTATTGTAGCAAAATAACAGGAAAGAGCGGTAAGATTTAGGTGCAGCCTAGGTACTAGGTCTGAAGAACTATCCAAGTCAAGAGGCCAAGTTGTGGCTTGGTCTGACAGGACAGACCATGGTATGGACCATGAGATATGAGCAGGAACGTGGTCATAGCTCTCAGGGATCATGTCAGCACTCTGGGTGGAGAGGAGCCTGAGGGAGTGACTGCTCCATTCAACTATTTCTTAGTCTAACACATCAGATTTCTATTCTCATCAGCAGTGCATTGGCTCTGGCCTGGAAGACCCAGGACGTCGGGCAGCCTGGTTTACATAAAAGATTTAATCAGTCAAGCTGATAATAATTAACCAATGAGTCCTTTGCGTTATCATGTCTCTAGACTTTGGACCTTCCTCTAATATTGATAGCAAGGGGATTGCTCCTGAGCAATCACTCATTTAATCACCCTTGAACAACATAACGACATTAGCAACGATACAGCAGAATCCTGCCCTCCGCCCACCTACCCCTTTTACCTACTGTTTCCGTAGAGCCTGCATGACAAAGCAAACTTTTCCAGCCTTAGGACAGCACCAGACCCTACCCCCTCCCCACCTTCCCGCCTGCAGTTCTAAGCTGCAGAATGACAATTTAGTGACAGTCATCCTCCCTGGAATGGTCCTCTGGCTGTTTCGGATTGGGGACTTGCCTTAGAATGAAGCTTCAAAGTCTCTTCTTGGCTTTGCAGTCAGCCAGCTGCTATGACACACAGCTGCAAGCTCTGTGAACATAGAGAGGTGGGGAAGGGAGAAGCAAAGGGGAGAGAGGAGAACATCTCCAGGCTCTGCGAACAAGAAAAAGTTGGTAAAAGGAACTATTTTTGGCTCATGAAGACCACTGCAGCATGAGGTCAACTCAACTACCTGGCTCAGCAGGTCCAGAGCTCTGCTGATGGCCCAGGCCTCCTTGTTGGAGTGGCACATGAGAGAAGGGTTACTGTCCTCTCTGACACCTGAAGGTCTAGGCTTTGCTTGACTTTTTGGCAGTATTTGGCAGACTTGTTCTGGCAGGAAAGAGGTGTTGCCCCAAAGTATGTTGTCTTTTGTGTATTAACGAACTTGTCTCATCTGGTGTGGTCTCATAAAGGCTGTGATTTCTGAGCCGTAGCTATGGTGTCGTGCAAAGCTTATGTGACAGCAGCTTTCTTGCATCTTTCCTTGCATCTCTCTCTTGGGACTTATCTCTCCTCCCTTCTCCAGGGCCTGTGTAATTTGCCAAATTTGCTTTTGGTCACTGCTTTGGTCTGTGGTGTTATACGATAGCACTAAGTTAACAATTAACTCCCTGTCATCAGGGACCTTATTGCAACACCAGCAGTGGGTGTGCGGGGACTTTTATCCCAAACGTCCACCTAGGGATCTCACAACCAGGCAGAGTGAGGGGAAGGAGTTGCTGTCTCTTCTTGTTGGAGCCATGTCAGCAGCCCTAGAGGAGTTCTGCGGCTCTGTCTTTTGGGTGAGTGGCTGCATCACCCCCTGATCACCCATCCTTGGGGCAGGACACACAGTGGAGAGGGAGATCAGTAAATCCCAAGGCTCAAAGCCCAGGCTTGTTTAGCCAGTGGATCCAAGTGCCAGTGTTAGGCAGAGGTCCTGATATTTGTGCCAGGGCTTACACAGTGCTTGAGCGCTGTGCACTGCTAGGGCAGCCTGGATGGTATCTGTGAGACAGTGATCCAGATGATGGTTCCCCAAGTGAGCCCTGTCTTGCCTTAGCCTCGCAATCCGGCTGTGAAGGCAGGGCACCCTCAACAGACCTCTCAGGAAATGATTCGAGCCCAGCCACTGCAAGCTGCCTTGGCTCCAAGAAGGGCTGATTGTGGGAAGATGGATCAAGAGGGGGACCTTGGGTGGGGGCTGAAATGCTCAGCCAGGGTCAGAAAGGTGGATGTTGAGGTGTGTGTGGGGGGGGTGCAATGGGGTCAGAAACAAGGTGGATAGGAGCTATAGGAGCGCTGGCTGTCATGGTGCGAGTCAGGTGAGGGTCAGGAAGCCCCAAATGACTTGATTGTCTGTCCTCATTGCCCCCAGAACGCCTCATTCCTCGCTCGCCCAGATGCTGACCTGCCAGTCTGCTTCCAGCAGACCGTGCTGGTCTGGATCCCCATCGGCTTCTTCTGGATTTTTGCTCCTTGGCAGCTTCTGCCCATGTGCAAATCCAAAGCCAAGAAATCGTCTCTGACCAAACTCTACATCACCAAACAGGTGGAGTGGGGCTGAGGGAGAACGGAGGGCAGGCTAGGGCAGTTTGGGATGGTGAGTGGAGCACCTCTGGGCTGGAGGCGGGTGCAGGATGGAGAGATGAAAGGCATTGGAGAGAGGGAGCAATGAACTGGGGCACTGTCTAGTATAGAAGACTAAAGGGAGGCCAGGATGAGGCATGTCTGGGACAGAGGGGATGACAGGGTAAGGGATGCTCTTGGAGGGTGGGCTCAGGTGTGTGTTGGGGCCTCTGACCTGGTGGGCTGTGACAGGCCACTGTGCTCCAAGCTTGAAATGATGGCCGTGCTTGTGTGGAAGTGCTGCAGGGGGGTCTAGAAAGCTTTCCCAGGCTGGGTTTGGGTTGGAGAGGGTGTAATGGTATGTGGGACCC